GGGGGGTCCACAAGAAGGAGGGGATTCGGAGGTTTCGAGAGGGAAAAGATATTCCTGAACAGTAGGTGCCCCCGAGCGCATAATACAAGCAATAATACGCCCCTCTTTGACGCACCGCGCGGTATTAGATCGTACGTTAGACTCGGGGATTGGCTCCCGATGGACGCAGAGGTTGGGCCAGTACCTCCGGAGCTTCGCAGGGGGGCCTGGGTAGAGAGGTGGCGGGAGCGATGCGGTCTGCGGGGGACACAGGGGCACAGGGGGGCACACAGGAGGGTACACAGTCGGTAGGCAGTGGGGAGGACCAGTGGGGTACAGCCTCATGATACAGCTCTCTGTTTGCGCGCTATCAGGCCGCGGGGGCGGGAGGGTGGACAGACAGTTGCAAGGGGAGGTCTGTGGGGGGCCAAAGGTGCGCGGGGCCATCGCGGGGTGGTGCTCCTGGGGAGCGAGGGAGGGGGCGAAGAGGGGTCACGAGGAGTAGGGAAGGGGGCAAGCAAGCAAGCACGCACGGCATCCTTCGGATAAACCGTGAAGCGGCTGAACGGGTCCTGAACGGTGCTGAAGTTGGCGTGGATCGTGGATCGTGGATCGGCTGGCGGGGCCCGTTCCGGGCCCGTTCTGCTCCCGCAGCATCGGGCGAGGATCTCCGACAGTGCCTTCAGTCGTTCGCCGCTGTCCCTACGAGTAGGAGGTCGTTCAGGAGGAGCAAGGTCATCCCGAGATCAAGGTGAATCGAGCCGCTGGCGACCCAGTCGACCCAACTAACTCCACGAGGCGCTCTATATCTTTCGACGAACAACCCGTTTGGCACGGATAACGCGATTGGCTAAGACTCGGTCTTGAAAATGAGCGACAAGATAATTCGTGGTACCACCCTAACCTCAGCAGGGAATAAACGAAGCAGCTGATTGGAGCAACGAGGCTTTCTAGAGTATCAACATTTTTGCTCTGCCTTGCACAGGATATCGTCGTCTTGAAGTGAGCATGCTGCAGGATACGATAAATCATTCGAATTTCATTCTCTCGATAGGAACTTCCATTTCAAAGGTTCAACAGCATACTAAGAATCGTGAAGTTCGTTTTTGGAATCGATATGAGGGATACTCGAAGCCTTCTAGGACGTTCTTTCTTTTGTCAGTGTTTACCAAAGGACAGGATCATCGGCTTATGTCGTCAAGAGGGACGTCTCAACGATCGTTAACACAGATCTAAGTGGAGATAATCAAGAACTAAGTGTCATTGATCGAGGAATAGAAGATGGATCGTAAGAAGTTAACAGAGAGAACTCGATGTCTGCGTCACCTGCGGAATGATTGTACAATAGGACGTAAAAAGAAAAAACAAAGCGGATCGCGAAAGACCTACTTGGGTTCAAATGTGAATGGTCAAATCGCATGGAAGAATTTCAAAGTGAAATGTTTTATCGGGCATTGTCCTGTGGCAGGAAATATCTGTTTGAAGTAAATACACAACAGTGAGATGATAAAAAGTCAGAACCGACAGTAACGACTTCCTAAAGAGATCAAAGAATCTTCTGGCTTCTAGCATTTAACGAACGTTGCGCGCAGTTTCATTAATTGAGTCAAGTGCACGATGGAACATGGTTTACAAACGCGTACAAAACTATGTACATGCTATATATTGATTTAGAATTTATTTGTCGCATGCATAAAGAAGTCCTTAATGAAGTGTGCCGAATGAAGGTAGCAGGCATCAGAATCTTATTATTTATAGTTAAAACTATGTGTGAACTGCCAGTGAATCCTTATTGATCGTGGTCGCTGTGTTACGTAGCATAGCCTCTTGATCTTGGTCAAACGGAAGAGAAAATAAAGCAGGTGAGAAGAATTCCGATTCTCGGGATAAAGTAGCTAAAAGCATTGAGTGTTCAGCGTGTATGATAATGCGGTTATAACGTCGGAGGTGTTGCGTTACATAAACAAACCGGTAAAAGTAGGGTTAGTGCACTGTCTATCTACTTACTTGCCAATCGGCTTGACGACGTTCATCGAGATCGGCGAGAAGCCTTCTTTGAAGGATTTACTTACGGGATATCCTTAACGAAGTGTGCTTGTCTTTGCGAAGTGGTGAGTTCAACAAGAGCCAGCAACGCGCCGGGCGATTTCAACGCGCGAAGAGGCGACGTGCCCGTCAGACCCATCGAACGCGAAACTGTTCAGCGGCTCAATCATCAACTCACGGTAAGTTTCTCCTTGGTAGTCGAAATCATTTGGAACAAACGCATTTCAACAATTATTGTTTCGTTGACGCATAGTTATTGACTTCCCAGGTATAAGTAAGAAGTATTAGAATATACGAACAATTGTAAATATAAAATATAAAAATAATAATTGATATTCATTTTTTACCGATTCGATCCGGTATTTGCCAATAGGTACAGTATAGGTATACTGACGAGTATTGGTATAATATATACTATAACGTATGATCAGTCAATTCCTACACGATGATCGGTTCGACCTCTTCCGGAAAGTTCTTGTACAAAGTGTGCGATTGGACAAAAACCGTTTCAGCGATACAACGTTCATAACACGATCTTAGTACCGAGTGAATTTCAATCCTGATTGAGTGTAAAAAGCGAATCTTCAAGATCGTTCACCCTTCCTGTAAGGATGACACAGCGTCCTTGGGGTCCTGGAAGGTATCTAGCTAGCCTACTCTATACCTACCTGCCTATACATAAAACCTAGCCTACTCCGTCCTCTTCAGTCTCTGTTTCTCGAATCGCCGCGAGTCGCACGTAGTCATTTTTACGAAGAGTTCTGAGACGCCCTAGAAAGCACAATGAACAAACTTGACGTAGCCGCGACTTAGATTGCGTCGAGACTGCGCTTATCCGTCTCGCTGCTCCGAAGCGAATTGCAAGGCGTCACGACTCAAGAAGTCACCATTAGAATCGAACGATTCGTATAATACATGTAGCTACCATATAGTCGGTGCCTCATTACATTCCTGTAAGGTATTTCCCGTTTATCACGCCCCCTGTGTCTACGTACAAGTACATATATAATAAGTCAGACGTAATCCAATTTATAAAAAAGTTAGTTATTCATGTATTCGGAATTCGCACGTTTTGCTTTTCGCGTGGGATTTCTTCCAGTAGTAAGCATGGAACACTTATATATAATATTATGAATCTCAAGGCACAAATTCACATATAAAATATTTATATGCAGTCACCTCGAATATTCATTATTCGGAAACGAAGAGGAAACGACAAGCAAGGTCACCACGCGATCATCGACTCAGAACCCATGCCGCTCAGCTGAGCTGTTCTTACCGTTCTTCTTCATGTTCTTTTTTTTTCTTTTTCTTCCTTTACTAATGTTTCTTCTTCCTCTTATAAACTTCTTCCTCCCGGCGGCGTCGTCCTGGTTCTCGAGATTTTATTGTATCCCGGCCATAGGCAGATACCCTTTAGAACGTTGGAACACTGGAACAGCGGAACGCGGGTGGTTCGGACTTTAGATCGTTGGTTATCGACTTAACTGCTACGATAACTTCGACTCCGACGTCGCCGCTTTTCCAGCAAGGTTGTACAGGTAACCAGTTAGGTACCTGTGCCGGCAGGCGCAGGTAAGGCAGGCAGTCAGGTACCCAAGTATCCACCTTTGCCAGTTTCACAACTCTTTCGCCTCTTTACGTTCCTTCGTCTGTTCTCCTTGTCTCCTTGTCTCCATTTTCTCCGTTTCGTGGTGGCTATCTTATATTTACTAGTTCTGTTATTCAAATGCGCCTGCAATTTAGACCGTAGGTTATCGACTTAACTGCGCAATAACTTCGATCCCTATCCCTTATTTTTCTTTTCATAGTTTCGTATCGCCGATAACGAGTACTGCTATATGTATAATTCCACGCTCATCGTTAGCGAAATGCCTTTTCGATCGATCGGCTTTTCTTGACTATTCTATTAGACGTTCGCGAATATTCCACTTAATCACTATACTTATGGTCGGTCCATAAGTTCGATGTGCTTTTATTACTGTTCGAATACTGTGAAATCTTTAATGAGGTGCACGTGGCTCTACATAAAATGTTCCTTACCAAGTATGCATGTGCGCGGTTCTTTCATTGAAATATATTTCTGTGATTTTATGGAAAGACTGTATGTATATTCTTGATTCCCTATACCCAGTCTTACCTACTATCACTTGTTACAAAGATTATCGTTATGAATGGCGCATTTTGACTGTGGGGCGTCCACTTAGATAGTAGCTAATGTCTTCATAAAGGAAACCTAGCTAGTTAACTTCATTCGATACCAGTCCAATTAACGGTGCTAATTGCGTGATCCTTCTCGACTTGACTCTCCCGACTTATTCTTGGCTTGCTCTTCCAGATTTTATTGGCCATCAAATGCGTTACGCTGAAAATGGTAGCAAGAATTTCCACGTCATTTATAGAATTTACTATGAAAAAACTATTTGTAGTATTTGTCGGACTAAACATTTTATACAATTATTTGACAGATTGACAGTTTTGAATAAAATGAGTACTCAAACTAGGAAATGATCATCACGTAACATCGATGAGCATCGATATCGATTCCTGAATGTTCTCCAGGACGTCGGATATGGAAAGTTTGAGGACATCAGGCTACGAGTCACTACGAGATGAACTTGACGCCGGCGTTGCGGCGGCTCGTAAGTAAAGGCCATCCCGATTCGTTCTTCACGGTTTACAGGACCGCGTTAATAAGGTCCGAGCGATATTTTCCACTTGGTTTCAAAACGGTTTAGCGTCGGATCGGATCATACGCGCGGGCTGGTAAGGCGCGCGTTTCTTACGATTTTGTGATCGTGGCGTCGCACGATCGCTTGTCACGAGATCTCGATGTGTCACGGTGATCGATCACCGTACACATAAATATGCACGCACAGTCTGCCCTTCGGAATGTCCAACGTCCGATAGGGCCTATATTTATAAGGAGGTTCTATCTTTCCTCCCCTCTATGCATGTATAGGCCCTTCGTCCTTCCCCTCGTAGTCCCACGCTAGCAGAGCGCACATGTGTCCCTCTAACTCACCAACGCCGGACACTTTCTGAAACACGTCAGTGCGTAGGTGCACGGATTATTAATGCGTCAAGTAAAAGCTCGTTGAATTACCAAGATATTTGCCCTTTAACATGCTTTACAATATGTCCCCGGTCCTCCTATCCACCTTCTACCTCCGACGAGAGGAGGTCGCCTTTCTCCGGCGTCCGGATGCACGTCGCGAATCGCTAAGGCAATGTTGGCTGTTACGAAAAATCTTGAAGTTTTCCTTTCGTGAAACATTTGCAGCATGCAAGTGTAATGTCCCACGGGATATGGATGCCCACGTTAAAGATCGGTGTAGCCAGTTAATATATTCCGATCCAACGATCGGTGACGGCGAAGTCTCCGGATTGCAGTTCGAGTCGGTGACGCGATCGATCGCTATGATTCTATTCTAGGAACTGCGATTAGCTTACGATAAAATTGTTAATTGAAAGCAACTTTTCGAGGCTGCACGTAAAGACTTCGGCATCCTGATTGGTTTTCCAGGGAGACGTGACGTCCGATCGCGCGATCCATGAAAGACGTGAACATTTGAGATCGATCTGGCGGAGCGGCACGAGACGCGCGGGGAACTAGGGACTCGATCGCGGATCTAGGGGAGGAGGTAGACAAGATCCTGCAATAGATCACTGGATCAGATCCGCGATCACTGGACCGCTTCACGTTCTTTCTTAAAATAGAACAATTCTTGGAATGGTGTTGACACCCACATAACCGTCACGACACACGGCTGTGCTTGTTATGAGCTTGACCCGAGAGAACCTGTTGCGATGACCCGCACTTGCGACTACTGTTATGTATTTTAATATTTTAAAATTCTAGCAAGTTTTGGCGTGATGAAATCTTGATAACTAAAATGACAATTGATCGGCTCCCATGTCTAGTCTGCGGTCTACTGTTAAAATATTTATTGCAAAGATGCTGCAGCATCTTTACTCGCAGCATCGATTATATTCCCATTTCACTGTTTTCTATACGTTCGTTGTGACGTACTGCCATGCGCTACTTCAGATGCAACTATCTCGATCCTTGATAGACGCACTGGTCGCCTACGCATTGCCACATCGGCTGCTGCACGGTGCATACATATATTCATGTGGGCCAGAGTCAAAATATTTACTCTTCGATCGTGCAGCGCAGCTTGAAAGGCGTAGTGCAGTCTGTTTTATTTTTTTTTATCAGACGTTAGATTTCATAATTACCAATACATCTATAAATTCTTTATTCGAGAATTGGCTATCTATGATTGTTTATTCCTAGAAAGGTTCATCTCGTACGATTTATTTATTTGAATTATCTTTAGAATATTTTAGTACTATTAGCGTTATGAACATTTTTTCAAAATATTTAAACAATCTTTTCATTATTTTATTATTTCCTTTGTCGGTATTAGAATACAGGAAATAGCGTGTTATTGCCAATCGCCAGAAGTGATTCGTGCATCGCAGTTGCACCACGAGCGTCTGTTTAACAGACTAAAGGCTTGCCACCCGGCGTAACCCTGGAATCGTGGGTCCGAGTCTGGGCAGATACTAGATAGGATTCTGAAAGCGGTGCAAAGTTAGCGTCCGCTCACGCCCAAGGAAAATACCGTGGGCCGACCCGCCAAGGAGTCGGCAGTCACGATTACTCCCGAATCAGTTCGATTAATCGCATTAAGCGACAACAATCGATAATTGCTCTTGCCTAATCGCGACACAATGAGCTATCGACTCTTAATAATGATTATGAGACGGGATCCCACTCTGTGGTACTATCGCTCGTTTCGCAGGGGCCTCATGCTGGGCCCTCCTTACCTTGCTGCCGTTCCTGGTGAAGCAATGCGCGCTCCGAACCCAAAGGTATTATCTCCTGTCACGAAGTGTCTGCTCAAACCTCATGGAATCGATACGAATGCACTTTGCTACTTTTCCTACCTTTCTCAATTTCTATGCACGTATAATGTTAGCTGATATTGATTGATATCGCATTTTTATTATTTGCTCAATACAGGACTAGTACTTTAATGGTTTGTTCTAAGAATTCTAAGAATAGATATATGTTTGTTTCCTAATACGATAATGTTTACAGGACGAAACGAGGCTACGTTAAATTGGTATTTTATGAAATTTGCGGATCAATATCATGGAGATAAAGTGA